CCCGCTAGGGGAGTCCAGCATCAGAGTCAACAGACTGTCCTCTGCGCACAGTGTGCGCAAGTCCGGGGGCCCGGCCTTCCGCTGCTCTTCCCGGACTCCACCTCACAGCCCCGTCTCCCTCTGCCTGAGTCTGGGTCCCCAGGGATTGGCCCAGAACTGGGGTTCGGAGCAGTCCGGACTGAGGCCCAGCGCCGCCGGAGGCCTTGTTTCTTCCGGCTAGGGTAACCCAGTATCAGAGTCAACATTCAGTCCTCTGCGTGCGCATTGCGCGCGACTCCGGGGGCCCTGCTTTTCGCCGCTTTTCCGCCTCACAGCCCCGTCTCCTCCTGCCGGAGCCTGGGTCCCCAGGGTCTGGCCCATAACTGTGGCCCATAACTGGGGCTCAGTGCTGCCGGTTTGGGGGGCTCAGCGCTGCCGGTTCGGGGGTTCAGCCCAGGCTGGGGGTTTTATTTCCTTCCTGCTAGGGAACGCCAGGCAGCACCCCGCCCTCTCCTCCTCTCCGGCTGCGACCTCTCCGCGCGCACGGGCAGGTGGGTGCGCAGCATGTCTCAGTACCTTAGGCTTTTTTTCAGCTCCTCTGATTTTCCTTCTGGTTTTCTCTTTCCTTCTTGTAGAATTTTCAGTCAGTCGACTACCTGTAGCTCTGGGCAATGTCCACTCTACATCTTAGTTGTATTCCATTGAAATTGTTGTGTGCTGCTGCGGCTAGATGTCTACCTGAGCAGCCATCTTGGTTTCCCTCCAACTGTATATTTTCTTTTAATAAACATTTGTTCAGCATCTCATGTCTCAAGCACTACGTTGCACCTGGTTCTGGATGAGCATTTCAGTACCCTATGTGATTATGTTTAGAACATTTTTAGAAGATTTCTGTATTTGTAATACATAGTCAGCTTCTCAGATGGTTAAAGCCTATTTCTCTTCTGCATGCACGCCAGGATAAAGTACAGAGATGTGTGTGTGTCCATGTCATTGAAGGGACATTGTACACAAAAAGCCCAGTTGCCTCAAGAGCTGTGAGTTAACAAAGAAGTAGATGACATGATTGCTGACCTCAAGAAATGCAGTAGAGTTTAGATGTATGAAAGTTATTGTTTTTACTGACCTCTGGAAACTTAATGGAGGCTGTTTACATGTTGTCAGTGATTTTGGTTTCTTCAAATAAATACCCAGAAGTGGAATTGCTGGATCATGTGGTAATTTTTTTAAAATTTTTTTGAGGAACCTGTTTTCTATAGCGGTTCATCTGTGTCATCTCATATAACAGTACTTCCTTTTAGTATCTGTTTATGCCTATTATATTTTATCACATTGTGATATAATTTACTTTCATATTTTATACATTTTTTCTACATAACTAATACCAGGAATGTTAATATATATAATCCTATATAGTAAAAGGCTAATATGCAAATAGATCAAGCAACAGAACAACCAAACAACCAGTCGCTATGACATGTGCTGACCACCAGGGGACGTGTGGAACATGGCAGGCGTCGGTAACAGGTGGCAGTGTGTAAGTCGGCTGTGGCAGGATGGTGGAACAGGTGAGTGGAGATGCCAGACCAAGGTGGGGCGCTGGTCGCTGTCATTGGGGCGAGCCTCTGGTGGTTACTGAAAATTCTTTGCTCCCAGGCACTACAGTCCTGCCCGGGGCTCACACCCTCTGCTGGTGCCGGCCTCACTTATACCTGCAGCTGGCGCTGGAGCTGCTATTTGCACCCAGCGCCTGTACCAATCACTCAGCACCATCAGTGGGTGTGGACAGCAGCTGCCAGCCTGGTCGTCCCTGAAGGCTTCTCCACCTCTCCCTGCTCCTGAGGGGCGAGCTAATGACTAATATGCTTAGGAAAAAATAGGTTTCATAAGGAGCAGGCTTCTCTACCTCCCCCTGCTCCTGAGGGGCAAGCTAATAAATAATACGTTTATGAAAAAAAGGTTTCATAAGGAGCAGGGAGAGGTATAAAAGCCTAAAAGCCTTCAGGGGTGACCAGGGCTGGCAGCTGCTGCTCGCACCCACTGATGGTGCCAAGCAATCGGGACTGGCACCAGCAGCAGATGCGAGTGCCAGGCGGAACTGTGACTCACGGGACCAAAGAATTTTCAGTAACCACCAGAGGCTCGCCCTGATGACAGACAGCAACAGGTGCCCGCCTTGGTCTGGTGTCCCTGCTCACCTGTTCCACCGTCCTGCCCGCCCTGTTCCACGTGGGCACCCTGGTGGTCAGTGCACGTTATAGCGACCGGTTGGTTGTTTGATCATTTGGTCTATTTGCATATTACCCTTTTATTATATAGGACTAGAGGCCCGGTGCACGAATTTGTGTACAGGTGGGGTCCCTCCAGGAGGCCTGCGGGGATCGGGCCTCAGCTCGTGTCCCCAGACTTGTAGCTCAAGTTGTTGCCCTCATCCCCGCAAGCCCCTCCTGGCACCCTGCTATGGCTTGGTGCCGCACCTTCACCTGCTCCACCATTCTGCCTGCAGTGGATTGGGGCTAGGTCCCTTGCCCGGCTTCCTCAGCGACTGGGAACCCAGGGCAGCCCTGCCCCCACCGCCACAACTGGTTGCCGTTTACAGGTGATCAGTGGGGCAATTGAACCCCCCACTCGCACCCGCCTTGGCCTAGAACTGCCTGCTCCAATATCCCACTGTGGTCCCACTCTTGTCGGGGCCCATCTGGGCTGACAGCACCTCCACTGCTGCCAGGGCTGCGTCACCAATGCTCACCATGTTCTGGGCTGTCTCCTGTGGTCAGTGTACATTATAGTGAGCCACCAAACTCTCAAACAATTTGCATATTAGGCTTTTATTATATATTTATCAACTTCAAAATATACTCTTATAGTGGATTCCTAAATCGAAAGTTACTGTGTCAAAGGTTATTGACACTCGATATTCTTGATTCACATAGCAAAATTGCTTTTTAGAAAGTTGGTATGAATTTAAACTCTTATCAGTAAGATAAATGAAATTTTGTCTTCAATTTAGCCTCTTTAATATTTAGAATATTACCAATTTTATTACTAACTTGATGGTTATAAAAGACTAATTTCTCTTAATTTGTGTGTTTTTATAAGTGGGAAATTTTTAACCCTTTTTTCATAAGCATATTAGTCATTTCAGTTTTTCTTTTTTTTTTTTAAGTTCTTTTGTGCCTTGTCACCCCCCCCCCCCCCCCCGGGATCTTCCTGTTTTCCTTTTGATTGAGCCTTTTCTATATTAAGGAAGTTAGCTAGTTGCTTTATTTGTTGAAAAAAATTTCCCCATTGTCTTTTTTTTTTTTTTTTTTTAATATATTTTATTGATTTTTTACAGAGAGGAAGGGAGAGATTGAGAGTTAGAAACATCGATGAGAGAGAGTCATTGATCAGCTGCTTCTTGCACACCCGCTACTGGGGATGTGCCCACAACCAAGGTACATGCCCTTGACTGGAATCGAATCCGGGACCTTTCAGTCCCCAAGCCGATGCTCTATCCATTGAGCCAAACCGGTTTTGGCCCCATTGTCTTTTGATTTTGTTTTATTTGTTTATTTTTGATGTATATAAATATTAAGCTTTATAATATGCTGGAGATTCATGCAGTGGAGTGGGGGGGGGCCTCAGCCCAGCCTGCACCCTCTCCAATCTGGGACCCCTTGGGGAATGTCTGACTGCCAGTTTAGGCCTGCAATTGGACATTGCTCTCACAATTCGGGACTGCTGGTTCCCAACCGCTCTCCTGCCTGCCAGCCTGATCGACGCCAAACTGCTCCTCTGCTGGCCTGATTGCTCCCAACTGCTCTCCCTGGCTGGCCCAATCGCCCTGAATTGCCCTCCCTGCAGCCTGGTCACCCCCAACTGTCCTCCCTTGCAGGCCTGGTTCCCCCTAACTTCCATCCCCTACCAGCCTGGTCACCCCTAACTGCAGTCCCCTTCCTTCCTGATTGCCCACAACTGCCCTCCCTGCCAGCCATCTTGTGACCACATGTGGGCGGCCATCTTGTGCAAGGGTATGACAGTCAATTTGCATATTACCTCTTTATTTAATATATTTGGAATTTTAATATGGTATACCTTATTATTATTTTTTTGAATAGCCAACAGTTTATTCCAGCACAATTTTAGAATTATCCATCTCTTTTCTCACTGTTCTTTATTATTTATTGCATTCACACATATATGGGACTCTGAATCTCAGTTGTCTATTTTGCTTCATCAGTCTCTCTCTCTTTTTTTTTTTTTTCTCCCAAGTTCCATGTAATTTGACTGAAATAGGATAGTATTCTGTATTGTGGGTCATATAGATCTTTATTAGTAAGTGGACAAACCTGGGATTCTCTTTGTATTTTAAGGGAGTTGTTTAAGCTTTCTAAGTCTGATTTTTTCCAGATACAAAAGGGGACAATAAATCCAACCATTCTAAATGGGTATTTTGAGAATTAAAAAATGACTGTTAAGTGAATAGTATCCTGGCACATTTAAATAAGTATTCAAAGAATGTGAACAGTTAGGGCAATGGTAACTTCATATTAATATCTGGTAGAACTCTTTTAGAATTGTTTTTGTCATTCTTAAATATTTAGTTTCTGGATTATTTTTAGGTTCCTTTTTTCCTTCTTATCCTTTCAAAAACAATTCTAATAGGATTGCAGTAAATTTATTATTAATATTGGAGAAAACACATAATATTCAGTGTCCCCATCCAGAAAATTGGTATTTCTCTACAATTTTTCAAGTTTTGTAAGATTTAGGTGTTTTTTTTTGTTTTGTTTTTTGTTTTTTGCTAGGTTCTATATGTGGTTGTGGTGTTTGTTTGTTGTGTGTTTTTTTTGTTTTGTTTATGTGTGTGTGAGAGAGAGTTTTTAATGAGTTGATCCTGGTAGTTGTGTTTTCTTTTAGCATCTGTTGGTTTACATTTTTCATTAGGTATAAATTATCATATATTTATGATTGCTATTGCTCTTTCATTGACATGTTTTTTGGTTCACTTACTTTTCCCCCTATCTTTTGTCATTTAGGTGAAAACAGATGACATAGCCAGAATTTATCAGCCTAAGCGTTATGCTTTGTCACCCAAGACAACGATTACATTGGCACATTTACTTGCTGCTCGTGAGGATCTTTCCAAGATCATTAGGACAAGCAGTGGCTCTAGTCGGGAGAAGACGGCATGCGCCATTAATAAGGTTGGTTTTTCTTTACAGCGGAGCACGAATCTATAATATCCTCATTTGATGTTTTTACAGACTTTATTTTACTTTTTAAAATATATCTTCATTGTTGAAAGTATTACAGATGTCTCCCTTTTTCTCTCCATTGACCCTCCTCTTCACTCTCATCCCCTCCCTAGGTCTTCACCCTTCTGTTGTCTGTGTCCATGGGTTATGCATATACGTACATAAGATCTTCAGTTGACTTCCTCCCTTCTCCTCTCCCTCCCCTTCCTTTTGATATTCATCAATCTGTTCCATGCTTCCATTCTCTGGATCTCTTTTGTTTGTCAGTTTACTTTGTTATTAGATTCTACATATGAGTGAGATCACGTGATTCTGATTTTTTCTGACTGGCTATTTCACTTAGCATAATATTCTCTGGTCCCTCCATGCTATCTCAGAGGTTGAGAGATCCTTCTTTTATTCAGTTGCATAGTATTCCATTGTGTAAATTTCACCACTTTTTTATCCATTTACCTACTGATGGGTACTTGGGCTGTTTGCAGAGCTTAGCTATTGTAAATAATGCTGCTATGAATATAGGAGTGCATATATTCTTTCTGACTGGTATTTCGGATTTCTTAGGATATATTCCTAGAAGTGGGATCACTGGGTCAAATGGCAGTTCCATTTTTTATTTTTTGAAGAAACTCCACACTGTTTTCCAATAATGACTGCACCAGTCTGCATTCCCACCAGCAGTGTATAGAGTGCCTTTCTCTCCACATACTCACCAGCACTTGTTGTTTGTTGATTTATTAATGCAGCCATTCTGACAGGTATGAGGTGGTACCTCATTGTCATTTTAATTTACGTCCTCTCTGATGATTAGTGTCATTGAACATTTTTTCGTATGTCTCTTGGCGATTTGTATGTCCTCTTTGGAGAAGTGTCTATTTAGGTCCTCTTCCCATTTTTTGATTGGATTGTTTATCTTCCTTTTGGTGAGTTGTATGAGAACTTTATATATTTTGGAAATTAGCCCCTTATCAGATGTATCATTGACAAATATGTTCTCCAATACAGTGGGTTCCCTTTTCAATTTGATGCTCTTTTTACAGATGTTAATCCATTTTTCCTTTATATCATGATGCTCTAGAAAAGACACTGGTGTAAGGGCTTCAGTCCATCTAGGCTTAGTTTTGTAGGTGCATGCTCATTTGAACCTCTATACTCATTAATTAAACCAAAATTTTATCTGAATTAAAGGAATTAAGAATTGTTTTATCAATAGCTTTAAGAAGAATTATTTCTTTCTAAGAATGTAATCAATCATTCTTTGTCAATGAAATCCCTATATCCTTGGTGTAAAGGGAAGAGTACATGCTTTGGAGCCATACAAATCTGGGTTTATTTACTTAGAGGAATCACTGTGGGCAAATTACTGAATATCTTGGAGGTTTCCTGACAAATAGACTATAGATCAGTGGCCGGCAAACTGCGAGTCGCGAGCCACATGCGACTCTTTGGCCCCTTGAATGTAGCTCTTTCACAAAATACCACAGCCCCGGGTGAGTCTATTTTAAAGATGTGGTGTTAGAAGAAGATTAAGTTAAAAAAATTTGGCTCTCAAAAGAAATTTTAATCGTTGTACTGTTGATATTTGGCTCTGTTGACTAATGAGTTTGCCGACCACTGGTATAGATCCATTTCTCTGACAAGCTCGGTCTTAACCAAGTTCATAGAGTCTGAAATTTTTGTTTTAACAACAACAAACTAATCTGAAATACTTGTTAGCTCAATTAGAAAGTAGTCTTCATTTAGATAGAGCAGCCTATGACAACTTTACAGAAGAGCAGAAGTAATGGATTTGGGTAATTTTAAAACAGTTTTTCATTCAGTCTAGTGAGAAATAAATCCTTGATGCAGGATATCTTGCCAGATGGATGGTTTAAAAAATCAGTTTGCCTAATCATTGCTCAGGCTCTAGTGTTCATGCCTCCTACTTCTATTTTAGACCAGTCTTCTTTATCTTCTGAAAGTGTTCTGTCTTTAAATACAGGGTGGGGGCAAAATTTTATAGTGTGAGTATGCAAAACGTAAGAATTTATTCTTTTACTGTTACTTATTAACTGGAGACCTGGTACATGCAATTTGTGCACTTGGGGGAGGGGTCCCTCAGCCTGGCCTGCACACTCTTGCAGTCTGGGAGCCTCAGGGGATGTCCGCTGCTGTGGAGGCGGGAGAGGCTCCTGCCACAATGCTGCGCTCGCCAGCCGTGAGCCAGGCTCCTGGCCGAGTGGCGTTCACCATGTGGGAGCACACTGACCACCAAGGGGTAGTTCCAGCATTGAGCACCTGCCCCTGGTGGTCTGTGTGTGTCATAGCAACAGGTCATTCCACTCTTCGATCAGTTTGCATACTACTCTTTTATTATATAGGATTATTGTGTTATTTTCCATATAAACGGCTGTGAACTTTTGCCCCACCCTGTATGTTACTCAGTATCTTGCTTCAGGTTATTTACTCTTATAGCAACAAGAGTTCTACTTCTTTAAGTGAAATTGTCCATCCCTTTTCTGAGTTTATAATTTACAGCCTAATTATTTGAGGCAACCTTCCCCCCCCCCCCCCCCCCACACACACACACACATTTGAGGGAACAATTTCTTGTTATACTAAACCAGAAATACAAGATTCCACTGAAACTGAAACAGTTGACAGAATATGGTCGAACTTAAACCTTCAAGGGAAAATAAGAGGGTCAAACAAGGCTAATAGGTTGGTTTGGGATAAACATAAGGATGACAGCATTCAGCATACCTCCCCATCAGGTATCTACCATCATTCTTCCATCCCCTTTCTTCTGAATCATTTGCTTAACCTAATGGCTTTTTTCTCTCTATTGCAAATACAACTCAACCCAGTAGTATCCCTTTGGACATGGTGCAAAGTCAAGAAGTTTTTAAATCATCTTATTGCGGGGTAGAAAGTGTTCACATACCCACCCCAGCACATTATATGGTGTCAGTGCACATGGTAGCAACTTTAATCAAACCAGTGCTGCTACCACGTATAATCTGTCGTGTGGCCCTGTAGCTAGGTCAGTATTCTAAAACACCCATGTGGCAGAATGTACTTTTGAACTCCATATTTTCAAAATACTTCTAAGAGGCTACTAAAGTGATATAGAACAGAACTGAATTGGAAACCTGGGCATTAAGGAGAAACATTGATGGGTTCTTTCTGGGACTTTTTCAGGGGGACAGAGATGAACAGAGGAAATGTTAGAACATCTTTTTGAAAGCAATCTTATGATCAGTTTTTGGAGCAGCGTCCCCGTATACCCACCAACATAGCATATTTGTTGGAGAGACCAATGAGAATGACAACCAAGAAAAGCAGTTTTTTTTATTTGGTAATTAGGGCATTATTGACTTTAAAAGAATGTTTACATATTTTGAATTTTGTCCCACAATGAGAATGTTGTACTTTTTGTCTTTTCTTTATGACATAAATTACTAAAACATAGTTTTCCTTAGAAGATCAATAGAAGTAGAACCTAACTGACTTATAGGTCAGTTTGGTTGAGGCAGTTACTGTTTTACCTTCTTTCCTGAAACAGACTAGCAGGAAGCTATTGGCTTACTCTTGGCTGTGGTTGGTGGGGAGGCATCCTCCTCACAGCTGTCTCTTCTGTTCATGGGCAGATAGAGTATAGCCTTTCTGTAGAAGTCTGGGGTCTTAAACCAAATTCTTGATTTATCCTTTAAAGTATTATAAAGCATGGGTAAGGAAGGACAGCAAGTATTTTCTTTTTAATAATAACTAGTATCATTGAAAGTTAGTAAGCTTAAGTTTCTCATAATAGAGGACTCTCACTGAGAATCCTTGTATCTCTTTGCAATGCTACCCTGGGTTATAGTCATTATATTCATCTCAGACTTAGCCACATGTTATCACATATACTTCATACTTGTGAGATAAAAATGTGCTTAAAAATACAATTGGATAGTCCATTACCAAACCAGTAGCAGTGGAAAGTTCAGAGTTGTTGTATAAATGGATATGATTTTATACTTAAGTATAAGTATAATATACTTAGTTTAAGTATATTAATGTTTTGCTAAAAAGGTTTCTTAGTATTATGGGTACTACATTTGTTACAGGCTATGCTAAACACACTTAAACGATGGAAAATAACAAGCCTTTAAGTTTTAGAAATATTTTCCTAGGTTGTTTAACAATAATACCACATTGTAAGGAATTTGTCATATTATACATTGCATTTATATTTTCAATATTAATTCATACTGTCATTCTGATACTTTCATGTCCTTAAATATTTGGCTTCTTTTTCTTTATTAGAACAATAATTTCAGTATTACTTGAGTCCTTTATGTCAATTTTAATTTTTAAAATATTAGTAACTGAAAGAAAATGTTTCTTCATACAGGTGCTGATGGGAAGGGTGCCTGACAGGGGAGGCCGGCCGAATGAAATCGAACCACCACCCCCTGAAATGCCACCTTGGCAAAAGAGACAAGAAGGCGGCGGAAGGGGTGGTTGGGGTGGAGGTGGGGGTAGAGGAGGTGGTGGGGGTGGAAGAGGTGGCTGGGGAGGTGGTGGGGGAGGGGGTGGAGGGTGGGGAGGAGGTGGGGGAGGCGGTGGTAGAGGAGGCAGGGGAGATTATGGGGGGAGAGGAGACTATGGGGGGAGAGGGGGCTATGGGGGGAGAGGAGGCTATGGTGGAAGAGGTTATGGAGATCCATATGGAGGAGGAGGTGGTGGTGGATATAGAAGATACTGAAAGGTACAAAAATTAGATAGCAGTGCTTACTTTTTTATAGCTACATTAGGCATAGTGTTCTAAGGAACATATTTGAATGTCATCTATGAAGTAAACACTGTTAGATTCCTTGATATCATTCTTGAATTGGGTTAATATGTAAGAACATTGTTTAATACTGTATGATTTCTTGGACAGAGTGATTTTTTTTTTCATATCTGTGTACCCTTGAGCATGTTATGTCTTTTTAAAAAACAAAAAAAAATGAGCAAAGGCTATTTTTAAAATTGTAAATATTAACATCAGACTTGGAAAAATGGAAAGTATTTTATTGTCATGATTGAATTTAAATTGTTACCTGTATTTTATTCAAGTTTGTTCACATAAAACAGACCCCACTTGTTATTAGACTGTTGCCTCATCTGTATTCCTGTGTTTTATATTTATTAATTTTACTTTACAAAATAAGGAAAGGTACTGATAGTTTTGTTCAAAAGGTAGTTGTTCTGACTTGTTTTTTTATTTTTTATTTATTTATTTATTTTTTTTTATAGAAGTGATTCCTCTGCCCAGGTTTCTGTTAAAATTCCACTAATTGAAGCCTGGGTCTACGTTTGGTATGCATATTTGATTTATTTTCCAACTGAATTTTAAATTTGTGATTTTGTTTGACAAAGCAAAGTTTGATTGAAGTCAGAATTACTCTGAAGGGACAAAGACATGAACCAGTTTTACATGGTGGTGTAAAAATATTCTTGTAAATTGTTTCTTTATCCTTTGGGCCATCATTTTAGATATTAGAATGTTAAATGGCAGGCTGAACTGCATTACATAGGATTAGAGCAGTACTTTCCAGTTTTAATAAATCAGAGGTAGGCCAAGGCATCCCTTGGTCGTTCTGATTCACAGTTAGATTTGGAAAATACAGTGTTAGAGAAGCATTGTATGTGGTTGGAGCAGTCAAAGGCTTGGTGACTAGGAGTTGTGAATTTGAATTATGGCGCTAGCTGAGGGGTGCTATGGGCTAAAATGATCAAAGATCTCAAGGATTGATTTATCCTCATTTGTCAGATGAGGAATCTATGTGATGCTTGAGCACTATCCAGGTTGTTTCATATAGACCTAAGTACAAGTGAAATTTGTTGGGAATTCATAGTGTGCCTCTTGTGAATGGTTTAAGAAGTGGGCCAAGTTAGATTATATATTTTTCTTTTAATGTACAGAGAGAGAAAAAGTGATAGCCATACAGATTTTTTAAATTTCCACTGTAAAATCTGTATCTCAATATAGGCTTCTGGTCAACACCTATGCATAACAACTTTCTATGCTCTAACCAACTGAATAGATAGAAAGCTGAGTACCAGTGGATGTTGGTATTTGGCAGGTCTTGTTGTTTTATTTCGCTTTATAGTAAACCCTGTGGTGAAACCTAAAATAATGTTAAAACTTTAAAAGTAACATTGTGTGTAGTCTTAGCCATGTGTTTTTCAAGATAACCCTTCAAAGAAATTTGTTAAGTATAGGAAAACAAATGTTTTTGATTATTTGTAAACTTAGATTATTTTTAAATGTGCTTATAGTTAATGAAAATACTTAATTTTATTTGTGATTGTTGAAGAATGTTTTCCATAATTAAGAAAACATTTTTATGAGTAGCTATGAATTCTGAAAAATAATTTTTAAAAATATATAAGCAGAGACCACTAAGGTAAAGTATTTCAAGAGAGTTGCTAGTTAAAACATTCATTTTTAAACTTTTACATTTCTGCTTTATTTCTTTTCGGAAGCTTTAGTTGCTGACTTAGAAGGGGCTTATAACTACCTTCAATTTTTATCACTAGAGGTTTATGAATAATGACAGAAACAGTAGTTCATCAATTTCTGTAAGATTTGCACTTTCATATGAGTGCTGTTGGATTATCCATAGGACTCACTGTAAATTTTATCCAGGTTTAGCACTAGCTCCTAGAATCATGTCAGAGCTGGAGCAACACATTTACACATTCCTATAAACTTCACTTGAATAAAAGCTGAGTGGTCTAGACTCAAATATCTTATTTTTTCTTCTGAGCTAAGATTTTAATGATAATCTTTGTTCAGTAAAAAATTTATTTGTAGAAGAGTGTGCTAAGCAGTATCTAAAATAGTACTAAGGTGCCTAGCTGGTGTGGCTCAGTGGTTGAGCATCAACCAATGAACCAGGAGGTCACAGTTTGATTTCTGGTCAGGACACTTGCCCAGGTTGCGGGCTATAGTTAGTCCCAGTATGGGGCGTGCAGGAGACAGCTGAGCAATGATTCTCTCTCATCATTGATATTTCTAGCTCTTCCTCTCCCAAGTCAATAAAAATATATTTTTAAAAAATAATAAAATAGCAATAAGGCCATTGGGGGCTTTATTGAAAGGCCATAATGTGAAAATGTTTTATAAATTGAGTGCAATACAAATGAAGAGTATGATGAATGCTATTTCACTGCTTCCTAAAGTTCAGTACCTTTTTTTGTGTGCTGCTTCATTCCTTTTTGCCTGGTTCTCATTTTCATATTACCTAGTTTTCCCTCCCCTTTTTAATTTTTCTTGCATTGGTCTAGCCTTTGTTATCTCATAGCATCTATAGATATGTCATTACTGGGAGTTTTTGTGTAAAAAAAGGTAACTACCTTCACATTTGGACTGCACTAGTATAAATAATGTAAGTCCTGTCCATACATAACCACCACCACATTACATGGCAGTTCTCAGCAAAAGAGGGGTCATGTGTTTTTCTTTGAACCTATTCCCTTGTGTTCTGCAGATCAGGGAAACTTTACTCACTAAATAGAAAAAAACAGCAACCACAAAACATTTTAAACCAAAAACATTTAGTTGCCTGTCTTTGTTTTGAAAGAAGATTTGAAACTCCATAAAAGATCTGTGACCAGAGAATGTCCTAAGCAGTAATACTATGTAGTATAGGAGCACAGGATAGAGATTTGGGATGGGAATTGGGACTGGAGGAGAGGAAATTTAATCCCTTCTTTAGATTTAGGTTGTCAGAGTGACTTAATTATTTTGTATATAGTATAATGAATTGTCAAAATGATGACTACACCCACATCCAAGTGTATCGCCATGCATTCTGTATTGGGATTTCAGTGATTGGAATTTCTCTTCCTTTTTTGGTCTGTTACACAAAAGTTGGCTGGGAATTAAGGGAAATCATGGCTCTCTCTAATCTATATACACTGACCAGATTATTATCTCTGGATGCATAATAATCTGGCCACTCAAGTGTATATCCTATATAATAAAAGGTTAATATGCAAATTGTCCCCTTGACCAGGAGTTTGACCAGCAGGCAAGCTGGCCAATTGCCCATGCCCCATCCTTCTGGCCAGGCTAGCCGGAACCCACTCATGCACGAATTCATGCTCTAGGCCTCTAATACACACACAAACACACACACACACACACTCACACACTCACACTCACATCCACACACACCCACACCCACACTCACACACTGAATGGCCAGATTATTATGTGTTCAGGGATCATAACTATCTGGCCACTCAGTGTATATCTATCTATCTATCTAGCCACTCAGTGTATATTTATCTATCTAGCCACTCAGTGTCTGTCTGTCTGTCTGTCTGTCTGTCTATCTGTCTATCTGTCTATCTGTCTATCTATCTATCTATCTATCTATATAAAAGCCTAAATGACCATTATGACCAAATGACCAGACAACTGGTCGACCAGTCACTATGACATGCACTGATTATCGGGGCAGATGCTCAACGCAGGAGCTGTCCCCTGGTGGTCAGTGCACTCCCACAGCCAACCTTCTGCGGCCCCTTTGCTCAGCCAGCCAGCCAGCCAATCTCCCGTGCTCCCTCCCCCCAGGTGGGGGACTGGTTGGCCAACCTCCCATGGTTCCTCCCCACAGCCGGCCAACCTCTGGCAGCCCCTTCTCTGGCCAGCCAGCCCTCCCTATAGGCCTCCATAGCCAGGCTGAGGGACCCCACCTGTGCATGAATTCATGCACCAGGCTTCTAGTCACTAAATAATGAGCATAAATTGCTCCAGGTGGTCTGTATACTAGATGGAACCATCATTCTCTACCAATTTCACCCACAGCTTCAAAGTTTCTCTACTTGCCAGTTTTCTTGGAATGAACTGTGTAATTAAAGACCAAAGCCACAGAGAAATGACAGCGTCAGATCTCCTTCATTGTTAAGTGTTTATAGACTTAATATTTAGGTATTTAGGGATCACTTTAAGTCATAATGCAGTAAGATGGGAAAAGGTTGAATATTTCTGTACTGTTACTTCTTTGTGTTATAAAAAGATTTAGAAAAAAATTTATTAGTTAGTTGCTTTGTTTTTTCTTCCAGAACTCTTTGGTTAATACAATAGGGGAATGGTCTCAGCTGTGGATTAAATAAGAATTCAGGTGAAGCTTCTACATATTCATGAACTATAGAAGAAATACAAGACATCTATGCTATAGGGGTCCTATTGTCTTTTATCATATAAATATTACATAAAGAAAACTTACATTAGATATAAAAAAAACTTTACAATCTGTACATTTGTTTTTCCTTGTAGTTCTTTTACATAATACATCTTTAGAAATTCACAACCAATAAAAAGGCAACTCAAGTTACCAAAGAAAATGAGAAGTGACATTGCTGCTAACAAAACAAAACTTGTCATTGTTTTGACAGATAAATATATGCCTAAACTTATTCAAGTCAGTACAAGACACAAAAATTTGTATCCTACGCTTAACAACCAAAAGTCAATGCCAAATTATTTCTGTAGATTCCACACAAATAATATTAATTTACACACTACTTCTTTGACCCTAGGTGGGCTGTAAAAACCTGTGATGAAATTACTTCCTATCCATTTCAGTGGTAAGATCCTTTAGCCATGTTAATTTGACTAAGAGGACTGACCTTTTGAATTCCTATTGATTACAAATTATTTACATAGAAACTAACCTGGAATCTGTATTTTGGGTGGAGGGGAAGAAA